ATAGGCACGTAGACAATATATTAACTTACGCACTTAAAATAGAAAATAATTCAAAGGCTCAAGTTGAATCATATCCTTGACCACATATAGAGGATCGTCAACTCTCTTTAAGGCCCGGAGTCATGTAATTCAAAGGTCTTTTGGATCACTTTGAACCCCAACTCACCTCAAGCGCTCAAACAATGATTCCAAAAGATGTAAAAGTTTATAAAAGAGCAAATCTTTCTTTCATTCTAAATCTCATGCATAATCTATCCACAAAGAACATTTTATACACTTTAATTAAGTTTAACGTCTAATGATAAAAATATTTTGCAGGTCTCTTTGAACACCTCAAGCATAAGAATTCTAATCTATTCACATAAGAAAACATTACATATTTTCAAAAACTTAAAAATTGTTTTTGTGCTTAAACAATCTTAAATTTTATGAAAATAACATAAAACAAACGAAGACAAAAACAATCACTCAATAATGAATCTTAAAGAAAACGTCCAACTTATGGGGCTAAGAAGTTAATAATAACTTTTTGAGACACGGGTTCATAGCATTTATACCCTTTAGTGGTGGGGTGATATCCTAAGAAGACACAAGGAGTGGAGCGTGGTTGAAGTTTGTGGTGAGTGTAAGGGCGGAGCCATGGATAGACCAAGCAACCAAAGGCACGAAGGTGGGTATATGTAGGAGGACGGTTATAAAGAGTTTCAAAGGGAGATGTGTTGGAGAGAGTTTTGGTGGGCATACGGTTGATAAGATAGTTTGCTGTGGCAAGAGCTTCGACCCAAAAGGTAGTCGGGAGAGCAGAGTCGTATAGAAGAGAAACAACTGTTTCAATGAGATGACGGTGTTTCCGTTCAGCGACCCCATTTTGCTCAGGAGTGTAGGGACAAGAGGTGTGATGAAGGACTCCTAAAGTTTGAAGGAAAAGGCCAAAAGCGTTATTTACAAATTCTTTGCCATTATCACTTCGAAAAATTTTGATGTGAGAATTAAACTGAGTTTTAATCATTTTTTCAAAATTCACAAAAACAGAGTAAGCTTCAGATTTATGTTTTAGGGGATAAATCCAGGTAAATTTGCTGAAATCATCAACAAAAGAGATATAAAATCGAAAACCGCTACAGGAAGGAACAGAGGTGGGACCCCAAACATCAGAATGTATTAATTGAAAGGGCG